GGTAGGTGACATAAACTCATCAAGAGCAGCCAGGTACTCTCTTACTGTGTCCTTACTTAAGAAAGTGTGGCTTTCCTCTTCCTCTTCTTCCTCCTCCCCCTCCTCACCATCACCACCATCATCTTCCTCCTCTTCCTCCTCCTGCTGCTGCTGCTTCTCCCTCTGTTCCCTTGGAGTGGACCATCCTGGGGCCTATTTTGTGAAGTGGTGGCTGAGGAGACCCCCCAGACTTGCCATGGCCAACAAAAAGCCGAAGGAAGGCGTCAAGACTGAAAGCAACGACCACATTAATTTGAAGGTGGCAGGGTTCAGTGGTGCAATTTAAGATTAAGAGGCACACACCACTTAGTAAACTAATGAAAGCCTATTGTGAATGATAGGGTTTGTCAGTGAGGTAGATCAGATTCCGATTTGATGGGCAACCAGTCAATGAAACAGACACACCTGCACAGTTGGAAATGAAAGATGAAGATACAATTGAGGTATTCCAGCAGCAGACAGGAGGTGCTTACTAAAAAAAGAACATCCACCTCTACTCCAGAACTGTGCTTCCAAGGAAAACAATCCATCCACAATTAGAAAACCAAGATCTGGTTCATCCACATCCTGACTACTGCAGTATAGTTTTCTCTCTTCTTTGATTCCCTTCCCCCATTCCTTTATTGTACATAAAGTAACTGATGTATGTGCACAGGCATAATGCCTAATTTTTTTTAAACTAAATGGCCAATGGTATGTTTTGTTTTGTGAGGGCAGTTGAGGTTAAGTGACTTGCCTAGGGTCACACAGCTAGTGTCAAGTGTCTGGGGCCTGATTTGAACTCAGGTCCTCCTGACTCCAGGGTCAGTGTGCCACCTAGCTGCCCCTCGATGGTATGTTTTGATCAACATCAAATAGAGATAGGGAGGGAAAAAAAAAACAAATTGGTTCTGTGAAAATATCCCTTTTCTCCATTAGTGGCATGCTCATTCAACTTTCACCTTTATATTCCAGTAAGTTATTTTGCTCTCACTGTTTAACAACAACAACAACAACAACAACAGCAACAAAAAACCCACAAAAAAATCCTTGCCTGCCTCGTTTGATTGGATAATTTAAATGTTTTTCTTTTAGCATTGTAAAACAAAGGATGATTTTATAACTTTTTTGTATGTAGCTGTTAGATGTAGGGCAATCTTTGTCTCTCAATAGGGATAAATTACTATAAAGAAATTAATCCTGGATAGTTTTCAAGTCAAACATCTTGTCATTTAAATAAACTTCTTGTATAAAATAAAAAAAAAAGAACGTGTGAAAAGAAAAGCAGTACTAAAGGTGGGCTGAGAAGCAGTCATGTAGGAGAAAAGGACCTGAGGAAAAAGGGGGATCGGATCCTTCAGGACAAACTATCTCATCCTAAAATCCCTCCCCTCCTACTGCCAGCCATCCAGGAGCATTTGGTGTTGGCTGGGATATATCCCATAGTGAACAGTTTCCCATTCAGAAACTAACCCAAAAAAGTGTTTATAAATTCCACTAATATCTAATGGAAGTAGAGTATATATTCAATAAGAAACAAATACACCTTAATGTTACATTGAGTACATTAAACTATTACATTTTTAGTGATTCTAAAGATGATGTGTTAGTGAGTATTTCCACTAAGACTATATGTTTAAAATAGAGCAGGGACTTTGACTAATTTGATTTCTATAATATCCAGCCTCATGACATTCAGATAGTGTTTAATCTTTTTGTGGCTGATAGTAATAATACTTTAATTATACAAAATATGTCTAATACCAAGTGCAAAATCCTACATACTTGAGTATCTCAACATGCGATATTTTTCATCATTTGGGGAGGAGAAAAAAAATCATAGGTCCATAAAGCTTGAAGGCTTAAAGTTAATCTAGTCCAATTCCCTCTTAAAGGAGAAGGAAGCTTAGGTCCGAAGATATATGAAATCTCTATTGTTTAGCCTTAGGGATGAGAATTCCAGAATACAGATCAACCTCCATATGTCCTAATCATTCCTTTCTTTGCATCCTCTAAAGTTGGGATGCTTTTATTTTTGCTTTTGTATACCCAATGCCTAACACAATTCCTCAAAAAATGTTTAATTGAATTGAATCCTCTGAAATATATAGCTTCTGTCTACTCTGTTCTTCCTTGCAGTGAGCAAAGATGAATCAATTCGTGACAGAGGATAGTTTATTTTTTTCAAAGCAACATTTGCAAGACTGTGTAAGGTTCAAATGTTATACTTTATCCTTGTTAGCTGTAGGAATTTTGAATGGCAGTATCTCCTCCATTATTTGTTGACATTCATTCATACGAATGAGACTTAATGAAAACTTGCTTAACTTATTTATGTGAATGCTTTCTAAAACTTTTTACATAAAATTAATCAGTTAATTATGACTTTTGGGGTATCCACTAGGATAGAAGCATATAAGATAATGACCTTTGAAAAAGGTTGAATGAATTTTTCTCATTAGGTGATTAGCAGCGCCTTCTCAAAATTGCTCCCTTAGTAATATCAATTTAGAAAGCAACTCTAGAGTTCTTAAGCACCAATTAATGATACCTCACTCAGAGATTTTTTGCCTGTCAGAAATGATACATAAGATCTACAGAGCTCTAAAGAAAATTGTCTTGAGTCTTCCCCCTCCTCTCCACTCCCCTTCTCTCTTTCTCCTTTTCCCCCTTTCTTCCTCACACCACTTCCCCCCTTCCCCCCTTCTCCCTCCCTTTTCTCTCCCTTTCTCCCTCTCGGCCTGTCCAAGAACCCTGTGGAGAAGTTCTCGGGCACTTTTGTCTATCACTGCCAGCACCTCCCTTCATTCGTTCATTCTCAGGGTTCCAAGCCTTCGGAGCCGGAAAGGACAGCAGAAGCCGTCCGGCCCATTCAGTAGCCAGACAACCATCCTCGTATCCCCCCACCAAAAGCCCTCTGGCGTTAGAATAGAGAATCCCAGTTAGAAGAGCACTGGCAGCCCATTCCACATGCTCACTCCTTTAGCAAAGATTGATTAAGCCCCTATTGCTTAAAGCATCTTGATTGGGCGGGGTTTTGGGGATTAAAGAGATCAGACATTGAAAAAACAAAGAAAGAAACAACTCCTGCCCTCCCCAAGGGATGTAGTAGTGAGGAATGGAATCTTAACCTAGGTCACTTTCATGTGTAATATGACATGAACGCACTTTCATCCTGAACTGGTGGGCAGCCCTTGCTACTGTCATTGAAGGGAGCAGCCCTCATGGAAAAGGGGCCTGACACCCTCTGCCAACACCATCACCACTGCAACCATCAACCACAGGGAGCTGCCATCCTTCCAGCAGCCAAAATGGAAGTAAAGGATCTGATTATAACCTGTGAAAATAAGATACAGATAGAGCTTGACCCTATTCACCCCCAGTTGGTGAAACAGTGTAGCCTTCTATCTTCCCTGGATCTCCCAGGTGAAAATCCCCTTGATCTACTCAAGCCAGAAAAGGCCCAGATTTCCCCAAGGAGCTCCATCTAGCACTTCCCAGGTCAGAAAGATATAGATTATGCCCAGATAATACACAATTCTGAGTAGAAGAAATTGGACTCTCACTTGCAGTTGAGAGTATCTTCTGGAACCAGGGTGCCCCAGATACCCCCTGGGCCAGCCTAGGTTCACAGCATGCAATGCTTACAGCCCTCGGAGGCAGGACTCAGTCCAGAAACTGAAGGGAGTTCTGGCTGCACTAGTGGTCAGCTCTTGCCTGACTTGGGACCCAGACAGATCCAGGGACCAGGGGCCTACATCACTCCCAGCCGGATGACCAGACAGTCCCCAAACCAAAGATTATTGGCCTCCTCCCCTCCTAGGTGCTCAGCTAGGCCCTGTCCCAAGGCCAAGAGAAGACTTAACTGTAATCTTTGATCGGACCATCCCCCACCTCTGAGAGGTCTGGTCCAGTGCTGGCTACCTTTGCCTTACTGACCTTGTGACCCTGACTTGGCCTCTTCGCTTTCCTTAGCCTCAGTTTTCTTCTCTCTAAAATGAGAGGCTTCTACTAAATGATCCTTGAGGTCTCTAATTGTTCACAATGTGTAATCCTCTGTATTCCCTACCTTTTAAAATTGGAAAATAAAGACATATCCCCATGGGGAAAAAAAGAAAGAAAATTGTCTTGACATAGAAAATTCTGTACTAGTTTCCTAGCACACAATGAGGATATTTACCAACTCTTTCTGAAATAGAAATTCACTATGCCATAAATATGTCATAAATTAAGGTAACTCATTAAATTAGCTTTAAAGGAGTCATAGAACTTCAGAATTGGAAGGTCCTTTAGAGACCATTTAGTCCAACTCTCTTCACTTTAAAGAATGGGTTCAAAGAGTAAGTTTTTATAATGATGATATAAATAAGGGGATGCATTATAAAATATTATATAACAATTCACTGTAAAGTTTTTGCCCACAAGGATTTTAGTCTGCTTAGGATGAGAGAGAATAAAATGGAACAGGAAATGTGATTTTATCATACAGGGCCCCTTCTGCAGTGTCTAGTCAGAGTTGCCTAGGGGATTGAGAGATGATGTGCCTTGCCAAGATTCACAGTGCCAGTGTGTGTCAGAGGTGGGGGCCCTGAATCTGACTCTGAGACCAGTCTTCAGCTCACTGTAGCTTGTTGCTTCATTATGCTGTAGTCTACCTGGGAAGGATATTAAATTTCTTTTCCCTTTGCACAATGGAGATATAGAAGATATGACTGTATTGCAATTTCTTCTAATTAAAGAAAAAGGAGCCAAATGAAACTAGATAACTGACATAAGAGAATTTTGCTATTAAAGTATTGATCAATTATGATTATTAACATAAATAAGTGATAGGCTTTTAAAGGTGATATCCAATGAAAATATAAAGCCAGTGTTTATTTCTGAATATATCTGTCTGCTATAATCCACCCTTGTATTTACACAAGCCATTTAAATTTACCTGATGTTGCAGAGAATATTAGTCTCTTCCATTTTCTTTTCAGATGTATCCTTCTGTAATAGAAGATGATTGAAAACAAGGGACCTCGTGTGGCTGATTATTTTGTTGTAGCAGGGTTGACTGATATTTCGAAGCCTCTTGAAGAAGAAATTCACTTCAACGATGCATGCCATAAAATAGCTAAACCAAAAGAACCTGTCACAGATGTGACAGTTATCATTAAATCTCTTGGTGAAGAGGTACCAAAGGGTTATACCTGTATAGATGTTACCCCAACTGGATTGTCAGCAGATCTCAATAATGGAAGCCTTGTGGGGCCACAGATCTACCTTTGTTATAGAAGAGGAAGAGATAAGCCTCCACTCACTGATCTGGGGTATGTGTGTTTAAAAAAGTATTATGGGCAGCATCGAAAATGCAAGGTGTAGAATTTAAGTATTCTATCAGTTAATAGATGAGCTGATGGAAAGTTTTGTATGTCTCATTTATTCTTTTTATGGCATTTTCTCCTTATTCACTGCCTTTCCCTTCTAGGTACCCACTGATGTCATTAGTTATCACCCCTGGGGTTAGAGAGAAAGCATCTGATTAGCTAATGTAAACTAAGGTGTTAATGATTTAAATTGTTATCTCTCCTACTTTTGAATTTTGAAAAAGGACCACATGCCAGTTGAACATGGTCTTGCTTTAATAATAGTAGAATTTGAGTTATTATTGGGTAAAGTTTATTTGGGGTGAGGTAAGAAGGGGAAGTGGGTTGGTATGCTTCAGTGCTATCTTTGCTTTGAACTGTTGGTGAACATGTAAGTACTCTGAGGTAATCTTGTATTAGATGGAAGGTGAAGGGGAACATGAATAATAGCTATCATTAAGTATTAGAGAGGCTAGCTGGTGGAGGAGTAATTAGCCTTATTTTATTTGGCCTCCAGGGAGGACTTAGTGGTTGATGGATATAACAAAAACTTCCTCACAATTAGAGCTGTATCTGAGTGGGGTGGGCTGCCTCGTTAGGCCCGGAGTTCCCTTCACACAGTACACTTTGTGTGTACTGAGATCTGAGCCTGGATATATAGGCTGCACTAGATAATCTTCGTAGGTTGTCTTCCAACTCAGAGATTCTCTTTTTCTCTTGACTAATCTTGCTCAATCTCTTGGACTCAAAGAATTTCATCCTGACTAATACAAATTAAAATTTCCTTGGTTACTAAAGTTGAATGTGACTGTTTTTCCCGCATATTTTAATGTTTAATGTTTTCTGAAGAAATTACAATGAATTAAAGGCCTCCTTAAGTTCATTCGTTATGCCTCTCTGGCTTTATACCTTTTATGACAAAACAATTAAGTTGAGCAATTGTTTGTCTTTTTACTCTGTGCTTTATGATTTGATTACAACTTTTAAAATAGTTTCAAAATGACAGCTATTGCTGCTTTGTTATATGTAAAATGTTAAACATTTAGCAAATATGTCTTTATTAAAGTGAATCAATTATTCATATTCTTGCAGCTTTGAAGAGCTAAGGACAGGTGACCGTAGAACCTCACAAGACTCTGCTTCCATTGTGTTCCCCAAACAGAATTCTATGATTCTCATTTGTGTGGCACACTTTTCCCTATTATTTACCTTCAGAGGAGAAGGCTGCCTTCTATTCCATTAGGAATGAGTTGTCTGCTTGCAACTCTAGAGAAGAATTTCCAGTTATAGAGTGCAAAGGTAGTGAAACTAGAGGAAATAAATTAATCACTTGACAAATATGCACAGAGTACTTAGTTTGGGGGTTTGAGCTGAGAGAGTGGATGCAAATAAATATAAAATACAGTTCATGCCTTTAAGCAGTTTACAGTCTAGTTGGAGTAACAAGATATGAGTACATGAAAGGTTATGTGCCAATATAAGAATTAAATAACATTATTAGACAGTAGCCTAAGATGTCATCAGGCATATGGTTCTTCATCAGTTTAGTATTATGTCATATAGAGGCAGCAGAGTATAGTGCAAAGAGCCCTGGATTAGGAATCAGGAATTTCACGTCTGTTAACTTCATCCATCTAGGCCTCAGTTTCCCTGTCTATAAAATGCAAGGTGATCCTTGTCCTTATGTAATTAGGAAAGGGCTAAAATTATACAGAAATGTTTATGGATGCTCAGGTCCCAGGTGAAACTCTTCTCCATCCCCTTAACTTTCTATTATTTATAGCGTGCCAAAGGATAAGTGGCATTTCCAAAAGCATTATACAGTTTGCATCCTTATACTATAGCTCAGAACTTTCTCTTATGTTGAGTAAGTTGAAGAGAGGAAGAGGAGATCCATCCTTTAACTTCCAGCATTCTTATGTTTACTGGTACTAGCTAGCTGAGCCATTAGCACCAGGCCAGATAGCAATGGTAGGAGGGCCAATTAAAAATGCCCCCAGCTCTCCTGATGTTTATCAACAGTTCACCCAGTCAGAGACAGTGATGAAAGAGGAAGGGGTTAGTTCAGGGGTGGGGAACCTGTGGCCTCGAGGCCACATGTGGCCCTCTAGGTCCTCAAGTGTGGCCCTTTGACTGAATCCAAACTTCATAGTTAAGTTTGAAAAGGGCCACACTTGAGGACCTAGAGGGCCACATGTGGCCTCGAGGC